AAAGTGATGCAGGAAATTGTTCTGTTCTCTTAATGCTGGATCTTACGGCGGCTTTTGATACTGTTGACCATTTTATCTTACTTAACAGGTTGAAATACTGGGTCGTGTCTCTGGGACTGCATTGAAATGGTTCTCCTCGTATCTCTCTGACCGATTTTCCTCTGTGGCAGTTTCTAAGTATAGATCATCTTCTGCGTCTCTGTCTTTTGGTGTGCCACAAGGCTCTGTGCTGGGGCCATTACTGTTTTTAGTCTATTTACTCCCTCTCCAGCACATTCTGAGCCCTTTTGAGGATATTTGTTACCATTGTTATGCGGACGATATCCAACTCTACACTCTAAGAAATGATACATTGATGTTGCTAGCATTATGTAAACGTTTTATGTTAAAATTAATGTCACCAATTGATTTTTAACTCTAAACACAAGGATATTGTTTTGATTTTAATTAATAACACAATATTTCAATACAACAAAATGCAGTACATTAAATCCAACGTAAAAAGGTCATTTAAAATGAACAGCACTTTAATTTGAAGAGGATTGTCCTAACAGGCTCTCCGTACTTCTCAGTTTGCACATGTGCAGTGTGGAAGTTTGAACAACCGCCATTTTCAACCAAAACTTGCATCATGCTCAGAAGCCTGGATAAAATCCATTGCCATTTGAGGATTATTTGGTAAGTACAACCATTTAAGGATGACAAATTTGGTTAATGTGTACTAAATGATAAACATCCGACATTTTCGGGAGTACTTCTGTATGTTTTATTTTAAAACAAATGATGTCTGGTAATTTTTTTTTAGCATTTTAGCTTGTATGCCTCTCACAGGTGTTAGTAGTCAGGCATTTAACAAATATTATCGGGCCCACTTCGGTGTAATTTCCCAAAATGTTTTACGATTCATGTTAAGCTGCAACTTGCCTACTAAGAACTGCAGATTTAAAATTACTCCCAACATCTACCGCGCATGCTCCCTGGTGTCAGTAATGAGCACCAGGAGCGCCAGCGATCCTATCCGTTTGAAGAATGAAATATATGTATAGTGTATTTTAGAAACATGCATCAAATAAGTTGCTACATTGTTTGAAGGAATTCTACCCGTGTTGATATCTGGTTTAGTGTTAATATCAGTGATTAAAGTGTAAGACATGCATTTATCTTGTGTCATTAAAATGCAGCATTATGTGTAATACAGCTATATGTAATGCATTTAACTCCTTGTATCAGTTCCATTGATTATCAAAGTGACAATTTGTGTGTTCCCCCCTTCATTTTACGTTGGTCAGCTAGTTCTGTCTGTCAGTAGATGCAGCAAAAGTGGCTCAGATGTGATTGTGGTTACTGTTATCTTTTATTGTAACTCTTGTTATCGTAATAAATACCAGAAAATATTATGATAGGATTTTGAATCCATATGGCTGAGTTCTAATCTTCTATTTCTTTTTAACATTTTTAGGGGTACAATTAATAATTATATTGTTGAACAGTCTAGAATTGATTAAAGCAAAAGTGAAAGCTTTCATGTATTGTCAAAATTGAAAAGCTTCTAGTTTTGTGTTCATATATTTGTTGATCTGACTCAGAAGAGTCAGTGCCTAACCAATCATTAACCTCACTGAATGTCACTAATATGAGTTGTCAAACATTGTTTAATTACTCATCGCTAATCACTCATCTGTTAATATTTTTGACTTTGGTTTGGGAAGAGGTGGAAAAGAACCAAAATCTTGTCTCACATTGAGTTCTTATCTCCACCAGAATATCAGCATTGATGTTTGACGGGAATGCGTTCTAAAAACTATCTGTGTCTACTTAAATAAAAAGCCAGATGACCTGTTCAAGGAATTCTTGGTAAGTTAGAAAAGGGGAAAGATCAGTTTGTTTGTTTGTTTGTTTTTTAATTTGGGATAGTAAATTGAATGTGGGCTCATTTATTCATATGTATCTATATGCAATTAGCTTTTTCCCCCCCTTGTTTTCATTTTAAGGATGTGGATCTTTGTGCAAGAAGAGAAACGGAGCAGCTGACTTTAGGAGTCTGTGTTGTCAGACATGAAGGAGCAGACTCTGCAGATACACCTGAGGACATTGGTTTCATCATAGAAGAATACACTGTGCTGAAAGCTCTTAGTGATGTGGCAAAGGGGTGTGCCCTCCTGCTTGGACTAATCTACAGTCTAAATCTGAGCTACCCAAAGCACCTGAAATACACATTTGAATTTCTTCAGAAGGTGCTGATGGAGTTGGATGGGAACAACCTATCCATGAAGGTGCAAGTTCTGAAAAACAAACTGCTTGAGTGAAACAGCCTGCACTGAACTATAGAGGACACTGAACTGGTTACAAGATTCTCAAACCCATCTCCTTGCACTTTATAAACTGTTCAGTTTGAATTCCGCAAGAACTTCTGCAAGGCCTCATACTTTTTGTTCATGTTGAACTTTTACCACCCTCCAGCTACATTGAACAAGACTGCTCCTAAGTTTGGACTTCATTTTAAGTTTTGAAAAAAAAAAAGGTTTTTTAAATATGGACAAAAATGCCACTAAAGTCATTTCTACTTGTTGTTTATAGGACTGTATTGTGAGTTTTCCATTGTACCTGAAGCAAGTTTAAATTAAGTCATGTTAATGTTAAAAATGTTGGAATCACAACACTTTCCAGTTTTAATAACTTGATTTTAACATTCTGTATTATGTCTTCCTGAACTTAATATGCACTTGCATATATGTGAAGATATTTTTGTTTAGGAAAAAGGCATTGATCTAGAATTTTGAACAGCTCAAAGTTTGCTTCAGCACATTTTACACAAAGTGTTATTAAAGTTGGGTTAACTGAATAAAATTGTTTGATTTATTCAATTTACTTTAAATAGAGTAAGTAATTTAATCCTATAGTTTCAGTAGAGCTCGTTTAGGGTTAGTCAATTTATCAGATGTACTTAAAATTTGTTGTTCAAATTAAATGTGTCATACATTTTAGATTTCACTAACCCAGTTGTGTGGAACCGGTTGACATAACTGGGTGGAGTAAATGCAACATCTTATTTTATAGAGTAAGTAGGGCTTGTTTTGGTTGAGTAGATTTTATTTAGTGTTGTCAATTTAACTCAACATGTTAGTTAGATCAACATTATGATATTTAGTTAATACAACACCATTCTTGTGATTTGCATTTAATTAGCCAAAGCTTGACAGATGTACTTAAAATTTGTTGTTCAAATTAAGTGTATCATACATTTTATATTTCACTAACCCAGTTATGTGGAACCGGTTGACATAACTGGGTGGAGTAAATGCAACATTTTATTTCTTAGAGTGTATATATCTTTTAAGCCGGAGGAGGTTTCTAAGCTGCAGCTTTTAAATGTGTGCTTGGAAACCATTAAAGGCTGGATGGCTGAAAACTTCCTCCAACTAAATGATAACAAAACCAAAGTCCTCTTATGTGCCCCAGATAGACATAGACCCAGTATAATAAATGCTCTTGGTCCTCTTTCAGCGTTTGTAAAACCATCTGTCAGGAACTTAGGGATTATCCTTGATCCTGCTCTTACGTTAGATAGTCATGTTAAATCTCTTGTTCGGTCCTGCTTTTATCATTTAAGAAATATCTCTAAATTGAGCTCCATAATTTCCTATACCGAACTCGAGATTGTTATTCATGCTTTTATTTCATCACGATTGGACTATTGCAATTCCCTGTTTACTTGTTTAAACAAAGGTTCCTTGGAGCGTCTGCAGATCGTTCAGAATGCTGCAGCAAGACTTCTGACGAAAGTTTCTAAATATTCACATATAACACCGTTGCTTAAGCAGTTACATTGGCTTCCTGTCGAATCTAGAGTCCATTTTAAGATTTTGGTTTTAACTTTTAAGGCTCTTCGACAACAAGCACCACCATATATTATTGAACTTTTGCAGCCCTATGCCCCTAGTAGGTCTCTGAGGTCGAGTAGTCAGGGCCTACTTGTCATTCAGTATACGAGACTGAAAACTAGGGGTGATAGAGCTTTTGCTACTGTGGCCGCTCGACTTTGGAACTCATTGGATTCATTGATTACTTTTAAAAAACAGCTAAAAACTTATCTTTTTAAAATTGCTTTTTGTTAACTTTGTTTGTTTTTTGTCTTTTAATCTGTTATATCTGTAAAGCACTTTGTGATGTCTATCTAGAAATGTGCTATATAAATAAAATTTTACTTATTTTACTTACTTACTTATAACCACGTACTCTTACCAAATACTCTTAGCGCCGTTCATTTTAAGTTTTTGTTGTTTGAATGTTTGCACAGCATGACTGTAAAACGAAACAAAATTGAATAACTTAAAAAAAACAAGTTACACGTCACCCTTGGTAAGAAAGATCTCCATATTTTTGTTCCCTCTATCTAAAAGAAAAAGAGGTAAATCTACAATCACTTTGCTGCTGGTTGTATTATTTGGGGTTATGTGTTGGTTTATTAAAATGCACTTGTAATTGCAGTTTTTTTGACACAATATTAAGTTCTTTATATTATCCTAACCACCCCAGGTTACAGGGAATATTTAGTGACTGATTTTGTAAACAGCCAGTATCGGCTCTGGCATTTTCAAACACATCTGTGCAATAAGGCTTAATGCTGCAGTACAAAAGTCATGTTAGACAAGCACACCTACCATATCTCTGCACAATCTCTTCCACTGCTTTTGTTTTTATGGAGAGGAGCCAGTCTGCCCTACATTTTCTCTTTGTCTAGACAGAGGAAAGCAGGGAGGGCTGATAGGACAGAAAGTGCAGTGGCTGGCATTTCAATAAATCTCGTATCAGTGAGAGGAGCACCAGCATAGCCTGTTTGTTTATTTTAGTACTAACAAGGTAAAAAGTACAATTCACCTGTTAACATTTTGTGAGGAGATTGGGGTAAACGATGCTCCAATGTCTTTCAGGCTAAATAAAAACACCCCTCGTTTTATTATAATCCACACCTTATATCTGTCCCTCCTCTCTGGTCTCAGATTCGGCGGCAGGGTGGAATCCAGCTGCTGGTGGACTTGTTGGACCACAGGATGACTGACGTGCACCGCAGCGCCTGCGGAGCCCTGAGGAACCTGGTGTATGGCAAAGCCAACGACGACAACAAGATCGCCCTGAAGAACTGCGGAGGCATACCCGCTCTAGTGCGACTGCTCCGGAAGACCACAGATGTGGAGATCCGAGAGCTCCTCACAGGTAACACACGTGCACATACGCTATCTAAACAAAAGTTTTGGACCACGCCTCTTTATCTTTGAATCCTGGTGTTTTCAGTCTCATTGTCACATTGTATAAAATCAAGCACCTAGCCATGCAGCCTGCCTTTTAAAACATTTATGAATGAATGGGTCATTAAAGTGGTCGCTCCATACAGGTCAATTTGGGAATTCTCTTCCCTCCTAGATCTTCCATACCATAGCAACTTAGATACCAAGCCAGACAATAGTTACAAATTACAGAGCGAGATCGCTCCAAAACCTCTTTTAGATTAAAAACTGGCTGCTTCATTACATGTGCTACAATGGCTGAGCAGTTCTTGTTGGTGTAATCTATAAGTGGCCCAGTACTTGTCCGTATAGTGTATTTTGAAGTTGCCATCATTAGTGAATACTCACCATATTTCCTGGGAACTAACCAGATGTGTATCCTTCTCCTGGACAAATGAGGCTTATTTTTGTAGAACATTATGTGAACCTCAACTAGCACTAGGCTTGTTGGACATTTCAGCCTGAGGAAAGGGCTTGAAATTGAATCAACAGAGTCATGGGCAGCTAAGGCTCACTGATTCACATGTTGAGCGAAGGCTGGCCTGTGTGGTCCGATCCAACAGATGAGCTACTTAAGCTCAAATTACTGAAAGAGGGAATGCTGGTTCTCATAGAAAGGTGTCAGAATACACAGTGCATCATTGCATAGCTGCAGAGAAGTCAGGGTGCCCATACAGGACATAAAGGTCCTGTTGCTAATATACCAAATACTATAAAACTGTAATTCAAGAAAAAGTCTTAGATTTTCTACCTGTGGGTACTCCTTCGTACTATAGTCCCTATATAGTCCTCACACACGTTATTTTCCTTCACATGGACAATACAGATATGACTATATTTACAGAGAGCAGTCCAAGACACAAAACATGCCGCATTATGCATGTTTCCATTTACACTTCAGCACAAATACAGAGGCACACACACACTCACACAGAGGAGACAACTGTTTACTGCCTGCCTACTTCCCCGTACTCATCAAGTGCTGTTGACTTGTCAAACTGAATTTCTGTGCAAAGGTCTGTACTGCACTTGTATCCACAGCATGATTGTATCCTCTGTGAGTAAACACAAATATCTCCATAGAAATTGTGTTCAGGGTGGACTAATTTGAGGTTCTATAATCCACGTGGAGGTCAGCATTTGTAAACTCGGATAGATTAAAGGATTACCAGCAACGCCTCTTTTTTACAGCATTTACTGTATCCTGGCAATCTCTTTTCTGATTAGAGTTTACATGGACGGCCACACACTCTTACCTCTCGAGAGGGATGGAGAGATGATGGAGCCAGAAGAGGAATGTTACTTAATTTTCAAACTGATCTACAGCCAGAAACTCCCAGGGGTGGGGCGGGGTGTTTCCAGTCCATGAGCCAAATGAGAAATATAGATTTCTCTTACCAGCACCAGTACTCATGAAAACATCTTTGCTATGGAGCTGCAAAGAGATGGATATTTGTCCTATGATTTATGCCTTTTATTGCCGTAGTCAGCCTGTGAGGACGTGTAAGCAAATCAGTGACGACATTAATACCACTAACAAATGAACCAAATAGTAACAAAGATCTAATTCTCTGGGAATCCTTGGGTTGATCTTTGCCACTGATGGGTTGGTACTGACCTAAACAAACTTTGTTCCCTTCCCACTGGCAGTGGCCTCCCCTCAGCAGGACAGTGCCACTCGCACACGGAAAAAATGCTAGGCATTGACTTGAGGAACATGACAAACAAGGTGTTGATAAGCTTACATAGCCCATTCTGGTCGAGCATATATAGAATGCATGGTTGCACTGTCCTCCGACCCAGAGGACCCAAAAGAACCAGACATCAGAGGACATTCCCATGTATCTATGCCCTGATGGGTTCAAAGCTATTTTGGCAGCGAAAGTGGGTTGTTTCATTGTCGTCTGATTCCTGTAATTGTCTAATCTAGTACTAGACCACATGAAACCATTAATTAGCCATGCCAAATTTGTACTAGATTAACAGGAAGAGTGTGAAACTGAAGTCTAATCCATATCTATTCAATTCACAGAATTGTTGTTCACAAACAAGAGTGTTTCAATTCAGAGAAAAACCCAAAAATCATATGACCCCCTATGAGCAAGCACTTTGGCAACAGTGGGAAGGAAAAACTCCCTTTTAACAGGAAGAAACCTCCAGCAGAACCAGGCTCAAGGAGGGGCGGGGCCATCTGCTGCGACTGGTTGGGATGAAAGCAGGAAACAGGATAAAGACATGCTGTGGAAGAGAAACCGAGATTAATAACAAGTGTGATTCAATGCAGAGAGGTCTATTAACACATGTTTAGTGAGAAAGGTGACTAAAAAAGAAATACTCAATGCATCATGGGAATCCCCCAGCAGTCTACACCTATTGCAGCATAACTAAGGGAGGATTCAGGGTCACCTGGTCCAGCCCTAACTATATGCTTTAGCAAAAAGGAAAGTTTTAAGCCTAATCTTAAAAGTAGAGATAGTGTCTGTCTCCTGAATCCAAACTGGAAGCTGGTTCCACAGAAGAGGGGCCTGAAAACTAAAGGCTCTGCCTCCCATATTCTACTTTTAAATACTCTAGGAACAACAAGTAAGCCTGCACTGCGAGAGTGAAGTGCTCTAATGGGGTGATATGGTACTACAAGGTCATTAAGATAGGATGGGGCCTGATTATTTAAGACCTTGCATTTTGATTCCAAAAGAAGAATGTATTGCATACAAATGACATCACAGGGCTTTCAGGCCACCTTGCTATAAGGACCTTACCCACAAACTGAGTATCGTTGAGTCAAGCTGAGCCGAGTAGGTACTAGTGGAAAAGAGGCATTAGTTATGCTGCAGTAAGCCTAGGCTGCTGGGGACTTCCCATGCGCTGTTTCTTCTTCACTCTTACTGCTCTGCATCTACTCATTAGTCATGATTAATCTCTGGCTCTTTTCCACAATGTATTTATTGTCCTGTCTGATTGTTGATAGCACCAAGAGAAGCCACAGTCTGTGGATGAATCTCAGCCGATTACTTTGATGATACAGTGCCAAGTAGTTTTCATTTGGTACAATTACATGGGATATTTAGGCTCGACCTAGATTTGGGGGAATACAGTAAAGTCCTTTTTTTCTGTTTTACAAATCTGAAATCAGGTTTTTAACAGCATTCTTATTTTATCGAGGATGTCTAACACCATTTCATGACAGTATTCCAAGCAGCTAACAAATTCTTGGAGACATTAGGAGAGGTTTCAGTCCAGCTTACCTGTAACTGTGAAAACTTGTTTTCCCTCTCTGCAAACTGTCCAAAAGCAAAGTGTCTCCTCACACAAAAGCTGCACAGAGCCTTTGCCCACATTCCAAATTATTTACAGCAGCACTTCACACATCAGGCTGATGTGAGATATTGGTGAGAGACAAACAGTTTAAGAAGTATATGGGCTGATATCCCACAGTTCTGAATAGTAATGGAAAAGTCTTATTAGGAAAGTTAAACCAAGAAGCATGTCAGCTCCAACATACAGCCACATGGTGTTGAGTTTGACCCGCGTGTGCATTTCTGAATATGCATATGTGTGTAGTGAGTCTAGAAAAGGTTTTAGGCTTAGCAGAGATGGAAATAAAAGGGTTTTGTATGCTGCTAGAGTCTTAAAGAAGATTACCATATAAATTAGAGAAGCAATTCAAGGCACGAAGCACAGAAATCCCTCCTGTCACAAATTAATCAGCTGAACGACCGACCGGACGTAGACAGACCATGCTCTCCTCTCTTCTGTCTCTCAAAGACCCAGAGGAAATAACTCTCTCTCCCTCCCTGTTTGCCAGCCTCTCTCACTCCCTCTCTTATCCCTCTGCGCTCAGATTCTTGTAATTGGTCTCTCTCTTTTCTCCTGTCTCTCTCCTGTCCTCTTTGCCTTTCTCCATCTCCCTTTTTTTTCCCATCTTTTTCTATATTGCCTGCCCTCTCTGGCTCTTGCTTGCTCTATGGTGAGCTTTTTGAATCAGGATCACAGTGGGAAGTCAAGCTGCCTGCCTTGGTAGCTACAGACTCGCACAGACACGCAAACATGCACAAAGGGCTGGTTCACAAGCACACACATTCATTCACGTGTGCAGCTTGCTTCATGGCACAAAAAGTGACAAGCAGGCTTGTTGCTCTGTGCTCTTCAGTCTCTTTCAGTTCAGTAACTATGGTCCTTTTTTTTACCTTCTGTCTTTAGAACTAATAAAGGTTATATGGGGGGAATAAAGCAGATTGAACACACCAAATAGCAGCATTACTGCTGATGCATGATTGTGTGTTCAACATCTTTAGTTCTTCATGTTATTGTTGTTCTCTGTGCACCTCAGAAGTAGGTGAGGTTGTGCTCCATTCTGTTTCCAGTACGTTAAATTTGCCCGGAGCTGACCCTGGGCACCCAGGCGAGACGGGCAATAGTTAGACTCTGGGTTTGCTGAAAGGGAAAGACTGCTGCCCCTGGATCCAGACAAGCAGCAGAAGATGGATGGTTGGACATATTGACGGATGGAATACAAATGTTAGATTTATGAAGAATTATCAAAATAGTGTAAAGCAGGGGTGTCAAACTCAATTGCATAGGGGGCCAAAACTCAAGGCACACTTCAGGTCGCGGGCCAAACAAGATATACAGTTTTTGAACACACTAAAACAATGTTTTTTAAAGATAAATATGAATAAAAACAGACAGGAATATTATTCCAGATTAAATAAACTTAAAAAAAATAAACTTTAACTTTAAATATTTTGCTCTTCATAAAAATATATCCTGTCAAAATTATGCAAGTTAGAAATATGAACATGCTGCCAAAAACCCCAGAAAAAATAAATGAAAGCATACACAAGGTTCGAGCCGCATGTAGACGGAGCTGGGCATTGCTTCAGGAATGGAACTAATAAACTGTGCGGGCCATTCAGTGTCGTACTTTCC